TTTAACTACCAAAGACCAAAGTGATGATGTAACCAGAAAAGGTGAGTAGTAACAAAGTTATGCTGTGACCAAGACCGAAGCCTGTCGCAGTCCAGGGAAGAAGCAACAGTATCTTTCAGGAGTTAGAAACTAAAAGATTGGGTTGGGAAAGAAACAGAAGAAGAGACTTTTTTTACCAGAAGGGTAATAATGTCTGAAATATCCGAACCGCCCCTCCTCCTACTTAGGTTGTCTTATTTTTTTTTGGGTTGCGAAGGATTTTTTTTTTTTCCTTATTAGTTTCGATTCTATTACTCTTTTAAGAAACAGTTTATGGTGTGTGGGATTTTTTTTTAGTATGAGACGATGGGGAGGGTTGTGCTTCAAATTTGTTTATTGATTCTCTTTTCATTTCTTCTTCTTCTTGAACACCTTTTGCTATATCATGTCTCTTTTTCAATTGTATTTTCAGACAACCCTTTTGTGATTTTTTTCATCTCTACCCACAATATAAAGTAGTTTTTTGTTTCCCTATTCTCAAGAAATAGAGTACAAAGATGGAGATTAGCAATGAATAGTTATCTCAATGGTCACCAAACCGTAGTGGTAAGAGCTGATACATTGGCTATTAACACATTCTCATACAACTTTGGCCACTTTGGCGTCCCCCAAATTTCCCCATCTTGACGTTTTTCAAATTCAATTACCTTAGGCTTGTCTGCTCTACCTTCGTTGACTGAGCGTGTGTAGGGCCGACTCATGCTTATTAACTTATCTTATTTGTTTTTCGGGTCTGGGCCGCATGCCCAATCCTTTTACCATTAATTAATTGTTTTTACTGGGCTTTTTAGCGGACCAACGAATCCAGTTTCAACAGGATGCTTATATTTTTTTGAAATATGAAGTGCTCAGACCTAGTGTCGTTTCAATCCAAAACTAGGTCTATCACAACCTTAAAAAAAAAAAGTTTTGTTGGAAAAATGGATTTTTTTAGGGAATTATTTGCTAGAAATACAACAAAAAAACTATAATATACAAACTAACCAAAATCTTCTTTTT